CAGTATAGTTGTTATAATGTCACTTGATGTGTGAAGCTGAAAAAGAGAAATATAAAAACCTGCATAATGTAACAGTGACTGAAGAAAGGCATCACATTTCTCTGACTGTAAAGAATAATTTCCATGGGAGAGCTCATGAAGAACAACATGTAATGAAGTTCTTTTGGCATGTACAGAAGTTAACCATTACACAGACAAATATAAATATATTGTAAATAAAATTTCTGTGTAAAGCCATCAGCAGCAAATGTCTTCTTATATTTATTATTATACTATTTCCAATTCTAGGTAATAATAGTCTATTTTGAAAAACAGAAGACAATGGCATTTCTCCTTTCAAAGACTAATTTTTATGAATAACATTGTAAAGAGATAAAGAAATGGATTATGAATTTTCCAATATAAACTTTACCCAATTAAAATCATTATTTTTAATATTAGGGAATATTAGTCATCTTTCTTAAGAGTGATAAATATGTCAGAGATGATCCCAATATGAAAGACTCTAAATAGATTACTTTCTGGGTTGTAATCAAGCTCCACTTGGTCTGATTTTCAACTGAACACTTAAGTCAAGTAATTATACAATTATTTGAATATAATGACACTATGATAGCTTAACTTGCAAACATACTTAAAATAAATGGATGAATGAGTAAATACCATCTGTTACATATGGCAGTGGCATTGTTTTTCTTCTTTGACTTCTAGAAAAATATTAATCAATTATATATTATCCTATCATCCTTTACCTATTTCTGTTACAGTTAACTGCCACATTGCATACATAAGGTAACTTGTCTACATGTTGGTTCTCCTACTTTCCCATGAACTTCTCTGAAGGAGGAGACAATACATTATTCATCTCCAAATAATCCTATATATTTATTTTTTTAAACCTAGAGAGAGAGATGTAGCATTTTCAGGTATTGGAAGATTGAATACTTATTAAAATGCACTTCTCACCAAATTGATAATAAGGAAACTCCAATCCCAACCAAAGCAGTCCTTTTTGAGAAAATTGACATACAAGCTGATTCTAAATTTTCTTGGAAAGGAAAGGAACCTAGAATATCCAGAACAACCTTGACAAAAAATCAATGTAAAAACACTACTGACAAAAGAATCACTGTACAGACGAAGTAATGAAGAAAGTATGGAACTGGCATAAGGATTGACAAAACAGAGAAGAGTGGAACGAAAATGATACACTTAAGAAATATAACATATTTATTTATTTATTTATTTATTATTTTTTTTTTTTTTTTGAGACGAAGTTTCGCTCTTATTGCCCAGGCTGGAGTGCAATGGCGTGATCTCAGCTCACTGCAACCTTCGCCTCCTGGGTTCAAGAGATTCTCCTGCCTCAGCCTCAAGAGTAGCTGGGATTACAGGCACCCACCACCACGCCCAGCTAATTTTTTTTATTTTTAGTAGAGATGGGGTTTCTCCATGTTGGGCAGGCTGGTCTCAAACTCCTGACATCAGGTGATCCACCCGCCTTGGTCTCCCAAAGTGCTGGTATTACAGGCTTGAGCCACCACGTCTGGCCTAATATAACATATTCAGAACAAATATTTAAAAGCAAGATACAACATCATCGGGACAAGTATGCCAAAGTAAATTTGGCCTTAGTGTAATCTGGAGACAATTTCAGCTACTTAAATCTTCCTAAAATCAAAAGATTGTATTTAATAATATATAAGATGCTAATACAAGATGAAAAGGTACTAACGTTGAAAGGCAAATGAGACCAACGATGAGACAAATACATCAAGTAATTTTTCAGATTTTTAAATGAAGGTGCTTTTGTGAAAATAGCATTGCCTGCAAATTCTGAATTCTTTTTCCTACATGCCAATATACTGTTCTTATACTATCATCAAGACAGAAAAGCACCAGCTCTTCTTTATTTTGCTGTAACAAGCCAAATAAGAAATTCTATGCTGAAGAAGAAAGAAAGATAAACATACTGCATTTAAAAAAAGTTTCCAAGGGACAGGAAAAGTCAGAAAGCAGGTATTTGGGGAGGAAAAGGAACAAATGAACTTAATGAAACCACAGACCTCTTGTACTCGAAGCTTCATCGTATGGAAGCTTTAAAAATTATTTTGTGTTTCTATATAAAGCACAGCAATAAAATTGCCTTTCAGTAGAAAAGATAGAAACTTATCCCTTCACTTCACTATACATAAAAATCAACTCATGATGGATTAAAGATTTAAACTCTTAAAAACCCTAGCAGAAAGTTTAGGACATACCATTCTGAACATAGGCCTTGGCAAAGATTTCATGATGAAGTCTCCAAAAGCAATTGCAACCAAACCAAAAATAGACAAATGGGACCTAATTACAGAGCTTCTGTACAGCAAAAGGAACTATCAACATAGTAAACACAAAACCTACAGAATGGGGGAAATTTTTTGCAAACTATGTATCCAACAAAGGTCTAATATCCAGAATCTATAAGGTACTTAGATCAGCTAGCAAAATACAAACAATCCCATTAACAAAAGGGCAAAGGACATGAACAGATATTTCTCAAAAGAAGACATATAGGGAGCCAACAAGCATATGAAAAAATGCTCCACATCACTAATCATCATAGAAAAACAAATCAAAACCACAATGAGATAGCATCTCAAACCAGTAAGAATGGCTATTATTAAAAAGTCAGAAAATAACTGATGTTGGCGAGGTTATAGAGAAAAGGGGACACTTATATACTGCTGGTGGGAATGTAAATTAGTTTAGCCACTGCGGAAAGCAGTTTGGAAATTTCACAAAGAAATGAAAACAGAACTACCATTTGACCCAACAATCCCATTACAGGGCATATACCCAAAGGAATATAAATCATTCTACCATAAAGACACATGGGTGTATATGTTCACTGCCACTATTTACAATAGCAAAGACATGGAATCAACCTAGATGCCCACCAATGGTAGACAGGATAAAGAAAATGTAGTACCTATACACCATGGAATACTATGCAGCCATAAAAAAGAATTAAATCATGTCCTTTGCAATAACATGAATGCAGCTGGAGGCCATTATCCTCAACAAATTAATGCAGAAAACAGAAAGCCAAATACCACATGTTCTCACTTATAAGTGGGAGCTAAACACTGAGCATACATGGACACAAAGAGAGGAACAACAGACCCCAGAACTTACTTGAGGATGGAAGGTGGAGGCTCGAAAACCAACCTATCAAGTACTATGCTCACTATCTGGGTGGCAAAATCATTTGTACACCAAACCCCAATGATGTGGAATTTACCCATGTAACAAACCTGCACATGTACCCCCTGAATGTAAAAGAGAAAAGAATAAATAAAAATGACATAAGAAAGCGCAACAATTATCACCGTGAGCCCACCATCAGGGAAAATAATGAAATGGGTCAGATTCCTTCCCCTACTCCTAATCCCTATGCTTGAACACACATTCCAACCCCATTTCCAAATAAATTATCCTAACTCAGGGTCTGTGACTGTTTAAGACTGGTAAAGAGTAAAAGATGTATTAGGTAATAACTGACTAAAATTTAACACAGTACTCACATATTAAAAACTGAGAGAAGAAAATTAAGATTAAGTGCTCTCTTCATGGTGCCTCAAATCCTAAATCTTATTTCAAGAGTAAAAAAGAAGAAAACCTATCCCAAGGAAGACAGGTAAGAAAAAATTTTAAATGGAAATATAAGATAATATATGAACTGATGACTTAGACCAACAGTTCCCACCCTTTTATGGCATCAGGGACCGGTTTCATGAAAGACAATTTTTCCACAGACTGGGAAGGCGGGGGATGGTTTCAGGATGACTCAAGTGCATTACATTTATTGTGCACTTTATTTATATCATTACATTGTAAAAAATCATGAAATAATTATACAACTCACCATAATGTAAAATCAGTGAAAGCTCTGAGCTTGTTTTCCTACAACTAGAAGGTCCCATCTGGGGTTGACAGGAGACAGTGACAGATCATCAGGCATTAGATTCTCATAAGGAATACACAATCTAGATCCCTCACATGCACAGTTCACAACAGGGTTTGCACTCCCATAAGAATCTAATGCTGCGCTTGATCTGATCTGACAGGAGGAGGCAGATCTCAGGTGGTAATACAAGCGATGTAGATGGGGGACTGTAAACACAGTGAAGCTTCTCTCTAGCCTGCCACTCACCTCCTGCTATACGGCCCAGTTCCTAACAGGCCATGGATTGGTATCAGTCTGTAGCCAAGGAGTTGGGAATTCCTGACTTAAACTACATTTTAGGAGGCTTACTGAGTACAAATTAAGAAATAATCCCTTTGTCAATTTCACTAGGCAAAAATAATGGATATCGATCTCTGTGTACAATACTTATACCTTTAGTAGAAACACTTTACAACCATTATAATGTAAATAATTATATATGCCAAATATTTAAAAATATTACTGTTTACAATGTGTTTATGGTCAGTAAATTATAATTAGGCATAGGAAAATACTGTCACAAATTTATTGAACATGAACAATAGGTTAAGTATAATGTAAAAAACAACTAATTTAAATTGCTTCTAGAAGATATAGCATCATTTTCATCCTAAGCATAGATACAAGATGCTGGGTATAGAGCAAAGCAATATGAAAATAGATTATAAAGATGGTTCAAATTTGCTTGTTATTTATGATGGACAATGGTAACATGGACAGTATTTTATCTGAATAATAGTTATAAATTAATTAGCAATAGCAAATAAGGCAAAACAAATAGAAAAACCATTATTCTTCATATAACCCATTACAAAAGGCTAAATTTGAAAGTATTTTATAAAGATAAATTCTATTAACTCTTTTATTAGTGGGTAAAGTTTTATTTTTATTGTTGAAATCCTTAATTGTGGGGATTCAATGTATTTTATAAATAGCTAGGATGCTTACTTACTCATGGGGCATGTTCATTTAACTTTTTTTTTCCTTTTACCAGCCTCACATAACATACCTTAAATAGTCTTTTGGAAGGTTCACAATTATGGTCTGTACATGGCTTGGGTCCTTTTTCAGTGTCTAGAGATGAAACTGAGAAAATATATTATATTTTATCATGGGTATAATGTATTCTGTTACAATATTTAAATTGGCTTTTGAAAAATGAAATGATATTCTAATATTTCTCTTCCATTAAAATATTAAGCAATTTTCCTAGTGCTAAATGACTCTTTTTAGCAAAAAACTAAGTCAACAATTTGCTTTCTATAAATCAGGACAACCTTATTTCTTCAGTGAACTTAAGAATTAATCAACTTTCCTGATAATGTTGGGCTGTTGATTTTGTAAAATCTGAGCAACAGATTTATTTCAATTTTAATAACATACATATGTACAGGTATGTATACATTTATGTGCATTCATTCAATATTGTATTTAATTCTATATAATATACTGTGTGTCATTTATCTCAATTCTTAATCTCTAGCTGCAAAATGATAGAGGTAGGATAAACTCTGATCACAATACTGGAAAGGGAAATGAGGTTGGATTTTAGTAGCGGCCATGGTAACTAAAATGATGAATATTTACATTCAGACACACATTCATTTATTTAATAAATAATTGCCAGGAGCCTACTGTGTGCCAGGAATTACTCTAGGGGCTTGGGATACATAAGTGAACAAAATCAACAAAATCCCATTGAATTTAGCAATGTAGAAATGAGTACTGTCTCTGCAAGATCATCTGAGAAATGTTCCTATTGTACTACAAGACTTAAAAAATACATTGAAAGAAATCTGATTTCTAGCCTGAGTTCTATAGGAGGTCTACTAATAAACATAGGTATAATGTAAAATAACATTTGAGGTTTCTACTCTAATTTGTAAAACAAGGGGCTGAATAATGTGATTTCTGTCACCCTTTCCAGTTATGAGGATATGTTTAAAAACAAATACTTCAATCCAGCAACCAAAATCTCTATAATTTATTTACTACTGATCTTGACAATTTTGTTTTTCCCATAACTCTACTTGTGTGCTATCCATTCGCTATTCGACTCCAAATATTGCTCTATGATGCCTGTGTACATGACTTTTAAGTTGTTCATTTTCCACACAATTCTTTCAAAACACCAGTAATTTTTCACGGGCCTCCTTAACTGTTCATCTCCTTAATAACATCTTCACTTCCTCAGAACCCATAAAACACTTGGTAACTCTTCTACAGTATTTACATAAGTTGTACTATTATTATATGCATATTGTTTTTACCATAATACAATCTTGAAGAGGGATCCTTACTCTATATTACCAATATTTACCTAGTATGTCATGTAAAATATGTCTGATGGACAACTATTAATATGAAGATCATAAAATTGATCGTAAAAGTATGAATATACGTGGAGTATATTCCCAGAATAATGGGAAATCTTTATTTTGTTGTTTCGACATATCTCTTTCAAATTCTTCCCAAACCCATACATGGTGTGAAACTTCACTCTTGCCATCTGAGTTGATATTATGAGGTACTATACAATATTACAGACAACAAAATTCAACCTAGTGATTTTATAATATTAGATCAGTTAATTTCAGACAGAGGTCCAACTAGGGTCACAGACTTGGGGGAGAAAAGGTTTTATTTATATTCTGCTTTTACCTTAAGTCCTTTTAAAATGAAGTTATCTAAATCCAGGCCCGAGAAAAGTTAAATCTCTAAATTTTATCGCTTGAACCCAGGAGGCGGAGGTTGCAGTGAGCTGAGATCATGCCCATGCACTCCAGCCTCGGCAACAGAGTGAGACTCTGTCTCAAAAGAAAAAAAAAAAGAAAAAAAAAAGAAACATACGTAGAGTTATGAAAAGCACTAGTAAACTGTAGCAAGGTCCTTTAAATATTATACACCTAAGGTACAGCTTTTGAATGGATTGTCCACAAAGTAATTCAGAAGGTGGCAGACCTGAGTCTACCAATGCATCATAACATGATTATGAGATTGAATCATCATGATGATGTAAAATTTTCTTACTTTTGAATCCTTATAAAAGTTTAAGGCAATTTTAAAAATTCATTAAGATCTACTATTCATGAAACTAATGCAAAACTGTCAGAAACCACAACATAGAATCAAAAGAAATACAAGGCATTTTCTAATCTATCTTTTCAGAATCAGTATACATAAAAGATTGCTAAAGTAACAAATATCTAGGAGACTGGTTCAGCCCAAATCCAGTATTAATGGTGTTAACAGACAACAGACACTACATCCATCCCCACCATATCAGGCAAACCACATGACACTCATGTTGTCTGCATCAGCTATCTTTTCCTGAGCTTCTTGCATATCCCCTCTTTAGGCTAGCTGACTAACCTCATCCTGTATACAATCACCTAGCTTTTTGTAAGATAAGTTTTCTATGAGATTAAAAAATAAAGAAGATAGCAATGACTCCAGCGAAAATAGTAGAGAGGAAAACTGCTGGCCACCTCTTTCCACAGAAACATGAAAAAAAAATGAACAAAAATGGCCAGAATCAACTTTTGTCAGAACTCCAGAAAATGATCAAATGTTTACAACAACCAAGTGAATGCAAAGTCAACAAATGATGACTTCAACACAGAATTTAAGAAAATATCTGTTAAGTCAGTAGCTGACCACAAAGGTTAAAAAGAATTCAAAAGTTAAATATGTAACAAAATTTCAAGTAAATGGAAGACAGACTTCAGAGGACATGACAAAAGATGAAGAAAATTATAAAACAAACAACTACAATCCACACAAGCAACAACCAAATACACTGAACAGGCAGAAGGATCTGATTTCAAAAGTATCCATTAAAATATTTTAAAATGTAAAGTTTTAAAAAAAATAGAAGTTATATAAAGAAACAAGAATGCATGGCCTGTTCACAGAGAACAAATATAATGGAAATTGTCCCTGAGGAAACAGACATTGGACTTGCTAGACAAAAACTCTAAATCAGCTATCTTAAATATGCTTAAAGAGCTAAAGAAAATTATGAACAAAGAACCAAAGAAAATAAGGAAAATGACACCTTCACAAATAGAGAATATCAATAAAGCAAAATAAGTTACAGAACAAAATCTAATAAAAATTATGGAGCAGAAAATTGTAACAACTGAAATGAGGAATTCACTAAACATTTTCAATGACAGATTTGAGCAAGCAAAAGAATTAGTGAACTTGAAGATAGTTCACTGAAATTATCCAGTCAGAGAAGAAAGAAAAAAAATTTAAGTGAAGAGAACCTAAGACATCTGTGTAACAACATCAAGTGTACCACCATATACATGATGGGAGTCGCAGAAGGAGAGAAAAATGAGAAAGTGGTAAGAAGAGTATTTGAAGAAATAATGGCCAAAATTCCCCAAATTTTATAAAACACATACAAGATAAATAGAATCCACATAGGGTAAACACAAGGAATCCCACAGTGAGACAAATTATAATGAAACTTTCAAAAATCAAAGACAGGAGCTTCTAGGTTGCTAAACATGCAGAGATACTGGGTGGTGGCATGCCCAAAGGGAGCATGTAAGCTCCAGGCCCCTTCCCACATGCCTTGCCCTGTGCATCTTTTCCATCTGCCAGCATATCTGTATTTTCTGTAGTATCATTTATAATAAATGGGCAACCATTTTTTAAAAAATAAAAGAGAATCTTAAAAGCAGCAAGAAAGAAGTAACTTGTTGCATACTAGGTGTCCACAATAAGATGAACATCAGATTTTCATGAAAAACCACAGAGGACAGAAGGCAGTGGGATAATATATTTAAAGAACTGAAATAAAAACACTCAACCAAGAATCCTGTATCTGGCAAAACAAGCTTTCAAAAATGGAGGAGAATCTAAGGTCTTCCAAAAATGAACAGCTGATGAAGAATAGATAGTAACTTGTTACTACACACAAAAAAAAGAATATTGGCAAAAGTAACTACATAGGAGTACATCTGGGTAAACATAAAAGGTAAATATAAATATAAAAGTCACTATTCTTTATCACTCATCTTTTTATATGATAATAATGACAAATGAATAAAACAATAATTACAAATCTATGTTAGTAGATACACAATATACAGTAATGTAATTAGGGACAACATAGAGAAGGAGTGACCTTCACAGGAGCAGAGTTTTGGAATACTATTATAACTAAGTTGGAGTCAATTCAAACTAGCTTCTTATGAGTTTGAAATTCTAATTGCAGTTCTCAGGTTAGCCACCAAGAAAGTAACTAAAATATATTAATAAAATGAAATGAAAAGGAAATTTAAATGGTACTCTATAAATAACTAAACACAAAAGAAGGTAGTAACAGGGATAATCAAACAAAAAAAAAGATATGAGACAATTTCTGGTTTCTATTTGACATCTAAGGAACTTGTCAGATGTCAGGCCTGTATCAACAACAACAAAAAAATCTGCAACTTTTCTTAGACCCATCAGAAAATTGAGGTTACTGGGAAAACTGCAGCTTCCAAAAATGTAGAGGCAGATAGGTGTATACAGAGAATCACAACTTACCAGGAGCAGAAGCCTGCTATGGGAGCCATTACCAGGATAATTTAAATTATAATTGCTAAGATGCTCAGGGTGGACAAGCTCCACCGTTAAAACTGCAATGGGGCACATTCTTGGGCGGCAGGGGAGGGCTTCCAAACTTTCTTGAGATTTATGTCTAGGAAACCCAACAGGTTCTCAGGGTTAAGACTGGAGGAAAATCTCCTTGTGCTTCTGGCAAAGGGAAGGAGAAAAGTAACCAGTTGGAAGTAAACCAAACCAAAGTACAACAAGAGCATCTGAAGTAAAACTAGTATTTTGGAAACCCTGCCTCAAGAGAAATAGCTTAACAAAGTTTCATTTTTACTAGAGCCTCAATGACCTGGGGGAAGGGAAATACCAAATTCAAACCCTCTCTAGCCTTCTCAGTGTAAAGTGAGAAAGAGAAGCACTTGTGAAGGTCTCAGGCAAAGGACACAGGTCCTCTGAAAAAACAGAGCAAATCACAGACTTACAGGATGCTTACCCCCCATACATGCATATATTACCACTATATTTACAGA